AACGTTAGCAATGTAGCATCAAGAGCGTGTTGCAAGTTACAGCAAGAACGTTAGCAACGTAGCACCAAGAGCGTGTTGCAAGTTACAGCAAGAACGTTAGCAACGTACCAAACCAAGAGCGTGTTGCAAGTTACAGCAAGAACGTTAGCAACGTAGCATCAAGAGCATGTTGCACGTTGCAAGAAGTACATTAGCAACGTAACGTCAAGAACGCATGCAAAAAAACGTTATTATCCCCCCCCCCCCCCCACTCCCCACCCGCACCCACCCGCACCCACCCCCACCCACCCTCCCCAAAGAAACTCATGTGTACATCATCAAAAAACGCTACATGATCAAAACTATTAAAATGTGCACGCCTACACGTGCGGTTTTTGACCCGGTGGCTTAAATATCTTAAATGATCCATCCAGTTCCAATTCTAACCGAGTAAGGTTGCAATTCAAGCAAGAACGAGTGTGCGGTCGTGAATCTCTTTTTCGCCTCTCAGGCGGATGGTTGTCGCCGGGGCCACGCAGGCCTGCCTCACAGCTTTGCTGACGAGGCCGGAGAATTGAAGAATTGCACCTGGCAGCATGAAGTCGCTTCGCCGTTCAAACTTTTATAACTTTTGTTTTCGTAGCACACGGAGATATTTGCCACCCTGCCTCGCAAGTGTCGTTCAAAGGACCAGGACTTACAGCATCTTCAAATGAGGCCTCTGCAGCGCACGGCGACGCAAATGCAAGCAACTGCCCCGTTATACTTTTCAGCGTTTCCTGCGTTTGGCTTTTCGATATAGGCCTAGGTTTCCCGACCTGCTGACGAAACCAATTCTATTGGGCGAGGTCCACTACCTGCCAGATATAACAAACCGAGAAACGAAAGCACACAAATCAGTAACTTTAGCTGTCCAGGCCTGCTTCATGACGTCTTGTCTGCGAGCAGGAAGTGAAAGGACCTGTAGTGCGTGGGAAGCCAACTTGGCTCCCTCAGATCTTGCTAAGTTTGGCAAACAGCACGTCAGGAGGACTGGCCTCCGCAGCGGCGTGCTCTGCTGCCCACTGGACGTCCTCCGCAGTGACTTCAAATGCCTGCCGGAAGAGTGTGCAGTTCGCTGCATCGCTGGCACGTTGCTACCTATGGTTTTCGTAGTTGCAACCGAGCGGCAATAGCACCCCGGAGGACAGCCTCATCGACTGGGCCCGATAAAAGCTCGTGGGCCCAGTCGGTAAACCGCTCGGCTCTGGCCCAGATGTGATTGGAACATCCGGACCAAGAGCCGTGCTGGTCGTACCCCCAATCCTGGAAGACAATGACAAACGGAATGCACTGTTGTTTTGCATTGCTGCTGTCGTTTCATCTGATTCCCCGCCCGTCCTCCTTCAAATGCCACATGCGAACCGTGGGCGGGAGGATTGTGATTACCCGGTGGTCGCCTGTGCACAGACGCCCAACGTGATTGCAACTCACAAGTGCATGATAGCAAGTATAGTTGCCAGGCCTGGCTTTGCTTGCGCCACCGCAAACCAGAAGGCGACCAGCGGCGAAGCCGACCAGGACAACCACGGGGAATCCTGCAGATATGAAATTTGAATGTTGCCTCCTTGCAAGCAGGAAAACTTGCTGAGGCAGCGACACGGGGGTTTTCGGCAACATGTTGCCAAATAGATTTGGCAGCCGTGCCTTTCGGAGTCAAGCAGAACTTGAGCTCCGCGGCGCCCCGAAACAGGCAACCTGCAACACGCTGCCCTTTGCATTTATGTGGCTGTGCCCTTTTGGTTTCGTCTATTGAATATATTGCTGATCAAATCCACGGCCTGTCGGGTAGTGTCTTCCCGAAAAGCGGCCGCCAAAGGTATAGGGCAAGGCAGCAACCTGGAATCACGACGTGTTGTTCCGCAATTACTTAGTTGGCAACACGTAGCAAGACGTCTTTACACACAATACCCTGCTGAGGTAGGTGCTGAGCACTCGTCATCGCCCTTCATCTGGGCATCGGCATCCTGGAGGCTAACAGCGGCATAGCACCATCGAAGGGTACCCCCCACGACCGGTGTCGTAGAACTATGACAAAAAACTACTTTGCCATGAAAACCAATGGAATTGGGTGGTGTTCCTCAAAAAATGGATGAACCTTACCCTGGTTTTCATGGACTTTCACAGTTAGTGTCAGAAAATCCAAATTCTGATTGAAAACATAGGAATTTGGCAGAATTAATGCCACATTCCCTGCCGCCTGCATTCGAGATTGTCGCGGCAAAACGGCGGGAACCGACATGAATGCCTACGAAATATGTTTGGATTGTAAAAAGAAACTGAAGAAATTGAACTAAGTCCGCGGTAGCAGTGGAAAAACCAAGGTGATCCATGGTGGGAGCGCAGGGTTTTTGGTGGAGCTGAATTTTTCGGGATTGGATCTTCTAAAATCGTCAAAAAATAAACCATATTCTATGTACCATTTTTTTCGAGCTAGGGGGCAGGATTGAATTCCGGCACATTCTATGTACAAGTATAAGCTTATATATCTATCTATATCTATCTATATCTATCTATATCTATCTATATCAATCTATATCTATCTATATCTATCTATATCTATCTATCTATATCTATCTATCTCTATCTATCTCTATCTATCTATATCTATCTCTATCTATCTCTATCTATCTCTATCTATCTCTATCTATCTCTATCTATCTATCTATCTATCTATCTATGTAATACCCTCAACTACTTAAGGTCTATAGTACTGGACCCTTGGGGGGTAGACCACCTAGGGTCTGACTAGAACTCGTACTACTATAGACCCCGAATATTTATTCACTCTAGACCCTGGACATTGTGAAAACCAAAAAAAATAACTACCCTATGATCTATGTTACAAGATGTTACAAGGAGATACAGATCATGTTGCAAGATATATCAAGATACAACATGTATTCTTACATATTCATGTATATATAATTATATATACATATATATATATATATATTCAACTTAGTTGTCAACGAAATCGTTCCCATTTCATCCATGCCGCAAACAAGCATTGCAACAAGTTTTGGAACGGTCTATGATCTTCCAATTCAATGATTGGTGGCTTGATTTTGAAAGAAACAGTGGTAGACATGAGTAGGCTGCGCTAGAGAAAGTAGGCTTCTACCAGGTAGCTTGGGTCTACTTTGATGTCATTGGACTTGTTATGTGTTTTTGGACTGCCCACACCAGGAAACACCATTCTAGACCTTCCCATTTCATCCATGCTGCAAACGAGCACTGCAACAAGTTTTGGAACGGCAATGATCTTCCAATTCAATGATTGGTGGCTTGATTTTGAAAGAAACAGTGGTAGACATGAGTAGGCTGCGCTAGAGAAAGTAGGCTTCTACCAGGTAGCTTGGGTCTACTTTGATGTCATTGGACTTGTTATGTGTTTTTGGACTGCCCACCCCAGGAAACACCATTCTAGACCTTCCCATTTCATCCATGCTGCAAACGAGCACTGCAACAAGTTTTGGAACGGCAATGATCTTCCAATTCAATGATTGGTGGCTTGATTTTGAAAGAAACAGTGGTAGACATGAGTAGGCTGCGCTAGAGAAAGTAGGCTTCTACCAGGTAGCTTGGGTCTACTTTGATGTCATTGGACTTGTTATGTGTTTTTGGACTGCCCACCCCAGGGAACACCATTCTAGACCCCATGACTTTGGCCTCCTATACACGAAAGCATGGAGGTTTTGAAGCATTTGGCAGAAGAGGGAAAGCAATGCGACTATGATTACATCCCACAAGAATGTACATGGTTCAGTCTCCATGCTATCCCACAAGGAGAACTCCTTGGGTCAATCCCCTCGGAGCATTCTTGAAAGTAACTCATATAACCCATCACCATCATATATCCATGTCATTCCATGTCCATATATATATATATATCATATATCATCATCTATCTCTATGCATTAATATGACCATCCACCATATCATCATCATCTATCTCTATGCATTAATATGACCATCCACCATATCATCATCATCTATCTCTATGCATTAATATGACCATCCACCATATCATCATCATCTATCTCTATGCATTAATATGACCATCCACCATATCATCATCATCTATCTCTATGCATTAATATGACCATCCACCATATCATCATCATCTATCTCTATGCATTAATATGACCATCCACCATATCATCATCATCTATCTCTATGCATTAATATGACCATCCACCATATCATCATCTATCTCTATGCATTAATATGACCATCCACCATATCATCATCATCTATCTCTATGCATTAATATGACCATCCACCATATCATCATCATCTATCTCTATGCATTAATATGACCATCCACCATATCATCATCATCTATCTCTATGCATTAATATGACCATCCACCATATCATCATCATCTATCTCTATGCATTAATATGACCATCCACCATATCATCATCATCTATCTCTATGCATTAATATGACCATCCACCATATCATCATCATCTATCTCTATGCATTAATATGACCCTCCCCATATCATCATCCTATATGCATTAATATGACCATCCACCATATCATCTATCGCATTAATATATCTCTATGCATTAATATGACCATCCACCATATCATCATCATCTATCTCTATGCATTAATATGACCATCCACCATATCACCATCATCTATCTCTATGCATTAATATGACCATCCACCATATCATCATCATCTATCTCTATGCATTAATATGACCATCCACCATATCATCATCATCTATCTCTATGCATTAATATGACCATCCACCATATGCATCATATCATCATATATTTAATATGACATCCATGACTATCATATGCCCATTCAGCATCAATCATCTATAATCATCGCTCTATGCATTATATGACCATCCACCATCATCATCTATCTCTATGATAATAGACACACCATATCATCATCATCTATCTCTATGCATTATATGCCATCCACCATATCATCGTCATCTATCTCTATGCATTAATACACATCACCATTAATCATCTCATCTCTCTATGCATTAATATGACCAGCCACCCATATCATCATTCATCTATCTCATGCATTTATTAATATGACAATCCACCATATCATCATCACTATCTCTATGCATTAATATGACCATCCACCATATCATATATCTCTATGCATTAATATGACCATCCACCATATCATCATCATCTATCTCTATGCATTAATATGACCATCCACCATATCATCATCATCTATCTCTATGCATTAATATGACCATCCACCATCATCTACCTGGAAAAAAACCGGAGGCTACACTTCCTGGGATACCTGAGTCACCCGTCCAGCAACTTGCTGTCGATCTCGTAACCTGGCAATTTCGCTTCGTTGTCCAAACATGGGGCAATCAATTCACCATCGAAAATCCGAATTTACAATCACTTACTGGTGCGTGCTAAACGTAGGGAATGGATTGGTGGCTTGCTGGGGGTTGCTGGGATGACTAGTGATGAAGTCAGGATCATTCCCTGCGTTTAGCAGTTAGCACAGCACCAGGATTCAATCAAGTCATGGGATTTTTTCATCGACAAATCCTCGGATTTCATGAAAATAAACGGGGATGATACCCACCCTCCGGTAGTTTTTGACATAGCTATGGAAGCCTTGGCCCATAGAAAGGTCGGTCATGTTCGGTCACTTACCTATTATAGTATAGATATATATATATACATCCTATTAGAAATGGTGATGTTCCATCGCCAGAACAAACCACAAGGTGGTAGCCAACAAAAAATACTGGCTACTTATAATACTGGGATCTATCATCAATGTGTTTTATTGTCCAAGTGTTTCATCTCATGGAATTGGCATGCACCAGCCAAAGTGGAATAAGAAAGTCATGCAGGGGGTTCTCTTCGAAAGGATAGCCATCTACATCGAACCCATTCCTATGGGTAACTTGAGGGTCTAGTTAAAGTCTCATTAGATTCGCATCTTCACCTCACATGAAAACTCACATGGAACATAATGGAAAATAATGGAACATAATGGAACCCAACTTGAATGCTTGAGAAAATGATTTGTCCTCCTGGAAATTGCCATAGATATGGGCTCCATGGGACATTTCAAGGTGGACCCCTGGGTTTTTTTTGCCATCCCCAGGTTTTTCATCTTGGCAGCTCCGGGGTCCAAGTTGGCAAATTTGGACCATCAGCGGCTGACAGATCTTGGACTTGGGCCAACAGAAATTGTTCCCTTAGACCAACAACAATTGGCTGACCTTAGGCTTCATTCATCGTGACGTCATCCCATTTCTCTCAATTTCTCTCAACTCAATCCCTGAAAAATTAGAACCTCGCTAGTGTATCATGCTGTTGGTTTATACCCATGAAACCCCGTGTTGAAACCTCATGCAATCCGAGGCTATGCCCATTGCCAGTCTTAGCTTCCCATGTTGCTGAAACTCCCAAAACAACCCAGTTTGATCAACCAAAATGTTGTAGTAAACCACCATAAGGCTGGAAAATGACAAATTATCATTGATCGAAAAGTTGGGGGAAAACTCTAGCCTCCCGGAATCTAACATAGCTATTGAAAATTGCCATTTAGAGTTGATTTACCCATGAAAAATGGTGATTTTCCATAGAAATCCCTACCCTGGCGCCAAGCCGCCGAAACCGAACGTGCTCACGGAACTCGGAAGGCGGCCGCCGTATCTGCCGTGAGACTCCTGCGACCATTTTTCCCGCTTTGGAACCGGTGTTGGAACCCTGAACAACTCGGATTTTTCAGGGAAAATGGAAGATTTACAGTCGAGGGACTGGTCAAATGACCAGCGAAAATTGGAGTTTCGCCATGTTTCGAACAAAACAAATGGGGATCGAACTATGCAGGCGTCAACATGTCAAAGCTCAGCCGATCTGGGATACCCAATTGCGATGATCATCTCGCCAAATTTCTTGATTATAGGAAGCCGCAGTTTTCATGGTTGAATCATGTTAAATCTCTACCTCCAGTGCCCAAAATTGGGAAGCCTGTCCTTCAGATAGTTTAGCAGTTGATCCTGGCAGCTCAGATGAAGTCAGCCATTTGGTTTCAACATGCTGCAACCGCGTGGAAGGCCAGGGTTCCGGGCGGCATCTTCCGTTTCGCCGTCGGTCAACAGCATCGTGTGACCCAAACGGTCCTGCTGTTGTGCCGCTGCCGCTGGGTTGAGGAAACAGGGAGGTTTCCAACCGCGTAGAAGCCAATGAGGCGTCGCGAGGCCTATGGATGGGAAAGCATTGGAAAGCTCTTCACCTGTCACAGTGCTTTACGCCTTTGGGTGCGTCAAATTTGAAAAGGGGTGTTGTGGCACTCCAAGTTTTGGAATTTCCTGTGTGTTCAAAAGATTGTCGGCATCCAAAAGACTATGGTTGTTTGATGTCCAAAAATGAAATTTTCACAAGGTAGCAACTCTCTAAATATTAGTAAAAGCAACCAGGAACAGTCATCATCATGATCATCGCATAAAGAATTAACAAAAAATAGATCCGCTCCTCAGCACGATGCCGGTACAACTCCTCAAAGCCTCGGTGTTTGGCAGTGTTTGGCATGTCCCACCACTTTTTTGCCTCATAAGTACTGAAGAGGGATTTAATATGATTTAATGGGGATACAGAAATGATAATGGGGGTACTATGTTACCTTGGGATGCACTGGATCATTACCATTGTATGGTTTCCCAAGCAAAATGAGTTACAAAAGGTGGATTTTGCGTATTCATTTATGGGATGGTACGAGTAAAACCAACAAAAATTGAGAAGCAACAAGTTTGACCTCCGAACAAATGAGATGCTGATCAAGAATCATGGAGATGTAGTCAATCAAAGCTCGGATAGAAACAACTATGTGGTTATGTCACCACTCAAATTGATAATGGACGACAGTTTTGTATGGATATCCAAGATATGAAAATACATAGATGAAAATAGGCTTGTGACTTTTGGCCAAAATCGTCTCGAAAATCTCTATCACCCTGCCGAAATGGGGCATTCCCCCATTTCCAACACCGGACCCTTTTTGGTGGCACCACCAGGGACCATCGAGGGGTTAAGCTGCTGAAAAAGTTCCACCAGCCAGCCATAATCCCATCATAGTCCCATCCCCCTAATATTTTTCATGCCCCCAATCTGCGACATCAGAATGAATCAAATAGATCCAGAACGTTGCACCAAGTTGCTTCTACATAATTTTTTCATACTGCATTCACCATAATTTATGACCAATAACATCCTTTATCTTACATCATTAAAAAAAGTGCATTCACCCATAAAAATGACCAATTTTACCTCCAATCTTCTACCCCATTGGAAATCCCATATAGTATCCATCAGATTTCAGAAATGGCCCAGCGCAGGGACTCCTCCCGCGGAACTTCCCACGGAACTTCCCAGGGCCAGCCACTGCGGTAGAGTCCCTGCCACAGTGCTGTGCCTAAGGGCGATCCCATCATCCCATCCCCAAGGGGCTACCCGGCCTGGTAAACGTTAACAAAAAACGAACTAAAAAAAGATCCACCGTATTTTCAATGGGAAAATCCACGAACTTTCTAAATGGTCATGTTCAAGTTCGCGAACTGTTAGTCATTACCAGAGGGTTTTATTGTGCTGTTTGGATTTCTCAATCACTTGAATCGAAGTAACAGGAGATGAAATATCCTCAATAATGGCTCGTGATGTGAAAAATTGAGACATTTTTAACACCTGAAAAAAAAAAAAAACTTTGGTTTTCCTAATCCATTCTACCAGGGAATTTCCCATGGATTTCCGCCAAGAGACCGCTGCCAAAGCTGATCTTCTCCAAGAGTTCCTCAGCCTTGGCCTTCCCGGCCTGGAAGGTCGAGAACCCACGGCCTCATGGTTTTGTAAGCTAATTGAGCTGTATGTTTTTTCTACAATATGTATATCTATATATATATATATGTATGTATATATATATATACATATATATATATATATACATATATATATATAGAATATATATGTATAGAATGTGTGTATCTATATATATTATATAGGTTGTAATTGTTTCATAGTCTGTTTTGATATGTTTCTATACATCCAAAAAAAATGATAGAAATTGGCAAGATCCGATTCTAATATAGTCGTAAATAACTGAAATATCAATTTTTTTTGGGGGTATGAAAAACCCTGAAATCATGTGAAAATAAAAACAGTTGTATTAGATATATGAAATATCCCCACTGGATTATATGGGATGACATATGGGTTATATATATATATATATTGGGTTTCCTGAAAGTTGACCAACTGGAAACCTGCGATGATGGCCTGCCATGAAAAAAGAAACCTCCACTGGACCGAGGGGATCGGCCGGCGCTATGACAAGACCAATTCTGGTTCAGCAGGCGTCCCACCAAATATGTTCCTACACCAGTTACCCTCTGGTAAACAATGGCGGTTTAATGGTGATTTAATGGTGGTTTAATGGTGATTTAATGGTGTTTAATGGTGATTTAATGGTGATTAATGGTGATTTAATGGTGATTTAATGGGTTTTAATGGGATTTAATGGTGATTTAATAGATATACCCTCTGGTCATGTCAAAATAGCTATTGAAGCCATGGCCCAGTCGAAATAGTGGATTTACACATGAATAGCATGGTGGATCTTTCCAGTTCGTTTTCTGTAAACGTTTACCAGGCCGGGTAGGAGTCAGTTTACCACAACCACAGTGTCACAATGGTACCCTGGTAGGGTCATGCTCGTTCAGATGGGCGATCAGCACCACCGGCACCTCATCCATTTGCGTCAAAGGTAAGACCTCGGAGGCTTGGTCAGAAGATTCCGATCAAATCCTCCGAAATTGGCGTTGGATCAATGACTTACTGGTGCTAAAGTACCTAGGGAATGCATGGGTTGCTGGGGGTTGCTGGGATGATTATTACTAGTGATGAAATGGATTATTCCCTTCAAATTCAACTCCCTGCTAAGCACCAGCAAGATGAGAAACATGGCATCCGCTGAAAACAAATCCAGATACAGCGAACAGGACTGGCAACAAGCCTCAAACCAGTCCTCCATTCACAGTGCTCCAAGCAGCCCCCCCACAGCTGCAATGACATCTTTCATTGACTGCACTTTCAGGCACCATTGGTTTCTCCCAAAATGGTGTAAACAGTCAACCCCTTATTAATTCTATTATGGGTATTTATTGCATCGGGAAAACAATATATTTATGACCCCGTGTAGAACAGAGAAAGTTGATTTTAGCAAAAAAACACAATCAAAAACAGAATCACCAAAAAAACAACTCGACAGGAAGAGTCACCAGAAGAAACAAAAAAAGAACAAGAACAAAAAAACTGCATGTTGCTCAGTTTTTGTTTTTTCCTTTGTCTTTTTGTTTTACACACATGAAATCTAACAAAGCATAGATCAGCTCTGGCACTGACTCATTAACATAGCATCCGGTACTGTTGTGCGGCCTGGGGAAAAGGAATTAGGTAGATTTTGGGCCCGTTGGGCACCAACTCATAAACATAGCACCCGGCGCCGTTGAGCGAATAATTTGTGCGTTCCCCAGGAAATGGAGATCAAAAACCTGCGATGAGTGCTAACCTGGCGCCTGAAAGAGACTGACCTAGCTAGAATCCTGGAAGGCAGAAATGCTATGTTAGCATCGATTTTGCTCAGAAAAAATCAGAAAACATGTCCATACCCCTCACGGCACTATGAAAACTTGTTCTTGAACATGTTGTACAGCTGCTATGTTAGGTGCTCATTGTTTCCCCATAGCTCATTCCATTTATTCGAACTGGAGTAGATCCAGCTGGCCCCGGTGAAGAAAAAAGCTCTGGGTGCTCCTCCTCAATCATCTCCGTGAGGGCTTGCTCCAAAGACTCCTAGCACGACTCGGGAAAGGATGCTATGTTAGGATGTTATGGCCAAGTTTTGTGCATGTATCATTTTGTATCGTTGTTGATCGCCAAACCAGGTTGAAAGACATATTTATGTGGTTGCTATGTTAGTGGTTGCTTTTCCTGGAACATCCTGGAACTGTGGTTGTTAGTCAAAAACCATGCCAAGGGCAACTATTTTGGGAACCTTTCCTGAACCCCACCCTTTGTCTACCCAATAAAATTCAGTAAATGAGCAACAAAAATATACAGCTTGGATTGTGAAGAATTTGGACACTCTGGCTACCTGTTGTTGCAGTCCTCCTCATCAACAGGCTGTCCAGCCGGGAGTGACATGAGATCGTTCATTTCCTTCATGATCAAGCTAGTGGTCGCCGCCATGTTCCCAACACACGGCGCGAACAGAACACTAACTCGACGATCTTACAGGGCTGCGGGAGATGCCAGGTTAGTATCAATATGATCAAATGAAATTGATGTTTTCCAGCTGCTATGTTAGCGCTGTTCAACGGAAAATCCCGAAAACTAACGTATTGCATGTTTTATATTTTTTATGTTTTGCAACAAGTTGGATTTCACGAGAGTATCTTGTTTTTCTTGTTGGCGTGTTGTTTTCTTTTTGTTTGTTATTGTTTTTCCTTGATTTTGGTTTTCTGGTTGTTTTTTATTTTTTCTATGAAACCCTATATTCTCTGTGCTGCTGGGGTCATAACCATATATGTCTATATATATATACGTACGTGCAATGTATATCATATGCACACATGAGCAACACATTGGCAACACATATATGTATATATTATACGTAATGTGTTGCAATGTTTTGCACCCATTGCCTCCCCCGGATGGTTACCAGCTGAGTCAGGGAACCAGTTCCCCTTGACGACAAAAGCTGATGATGCACAAGCGATCCTACGCCAGGGCCGGCTTTCCCCAGAGCTTTTCCAGGTCACAGGCAACCCCAAGTTCTCCCAAGGGCTCAATTTCAGCAAGAATTCAATCCTTTAGAAGAGACAAGAGAGTTCCTTTACAGCAAGTGAAACTGCGAAAATGTTCAAGATCTTCTATCCAAGAGACATGTTCTTTCGCAAACATGCATTTGAGTATTTGAGGTTCTTTGTGGTTCCAGATGGGTCGTCGTAGCAATCAGATGTTTATCAGTGGCCACTCCTTAGCTGAAAATTTGCTTTAGTTGGTTGATAGTAGCGTAGTAAATCCAATGTCAGAAACCATCCCCCAGTCGTCACCATTTAGAAATGATTGGTATTCCAACCATTCCCAAATGTCAGGTCAAAATGGCGGTTTCCCACCACTAGAGCCTGTGCGTTCAGAGTCTGGATAACCGTGCGCACGGCATGCTTGGCAATGTCCTCAGGACCACTGGCAATTTTTTGTGACCTGGGGTATCCAAGATTGGTCAGATCCATAAAAATTCATCGTGTCTGCATATGAAGAACTTACCCTCTGGTAATGACTAACATAGCTATTGAAAATTGCCATTTATAGTGGATTTTCCCATGAAAAATGGTGATTTTCCATAGTTATGTTAGTTTACCAGAGGGTACTGGTGCGTTTTACGTAGGGAATGGATGGGTTGCTGGGGTTTGCTGGGATTATTATTGATAGTGATGAAATGGATCATTCCCTATCAAAGAGTATACCCTCTGGTAATTTAACATAACTATGGGAAAACACACAATTTTAGTGGGTAAATCCACTATATATGGTAGGTTCTGCCTTGCTTCCACTTTCAGATGCATCCACAATCTGAAATCCCATCCACCAGGTACCCGGACCAGCATTGAGAGTCCATTGCTCTCACTGGCACCCGAAGCTGCCTCAAGATGTGGAACTTGGAAAGCGTGTCTACACTTCCAAGTATGCCTATACCATATGTCATATGTCATATTATATATTATATATTAAATATTATATATATCATATATCATATATGATAGATTGCATATTATATAATATATATATATATATTATATTATATTATATATATATATATTATTATATATATTATATTATATTATATTATTTTATTTTATTTTATTTTATACTATATTATATTATATTGTATTATATTATATTGTATTATATTATATATATATATTATATTATTTTATTTTATTTCATATTATTTTATATTATATTATATTATATTGTATTATATTATATTATATTATATTGTATTGTATTATATTATATATATATATTATATTATATTATATTATATTGTATTATATTATATTATATATACAATATTATATTATATTATATTATATTATTTTATATTATATTATATTATATATATTATATTATATTATATTATATTATATTACATTATATTATATTATATTATATTATATATATCATATTGAATATATATTATATATCATATTGAATATATATATATATACATATTATTTTATATTTTATATGTTATTTCATATGTTATACATCATATATTTGTATAGTATATCTTATTTTTATATTATATATTGTATAATATATATTATATATTGTATATTATATATTTATTATATTGTATATTATATATTTATTATATTGTATATTATATATTTATTATATTGTATATTATATATTTATTATATTGTATATTATATATTGTATATTGTATAATATATATATATTACATAGTGTATATTATATAGTCATTATATTGTATATTATATATTTATTATATTGTATATTATATATCTTATATTATATATTATATATTTTAAATGATAAATTGTATATTATATATTTTATATTATATATTAATATATTATACATTATATATTAATATATTTTATATTAATTGTTATATGTTATATATTAAATATTATACATTATAAATTATACATTATAGATTATATATTATAGATTATAGATGATATGTTATATAGTATATAGTGTATAGTATATAACATATCATATATAATATCATATATAATATGTGGTATTTAATATAATATATAATATATAGTATATAATATAAACTTTGAAATATATAATATATAATATATAATACAATATGTATTTATAATATATAATATATCAAACAATATATTATATATCTCATACATCATATATCACATATCATAAATCATATATCACATGCATGTTATGTTATAATGCATACGATATGTATGTGATATGCAAACAACTGCATTTATGTGTATATATATATACAATATATGAATATGCGCCTTTAATAAAGATATGTCTGGGTGTTCTTTCCCCATTCTTTTTGCCATGTGCAGTGAAACCATATCAGAAGATACCACGTTGTGAACCTAACCTTGTGTCTCTTGGGTAGCGAATATACCTCCAAAAAACCATGATACCACGGTTCGATCCATTGAAAAGAGCAACTGCCAGGGCCCTTCCAAGGTCGGAACGACCTATCATCTGGTCATGGCCACCCCCCGGATGGGAAAACAAAGCCACTCCGAAATTTACTGGCTGAACTCTTGTACCCTCTGGTAATTTAACATAGCTATTGAAAATGGCCATTTATAGTGAGTTTTCCCATTAAAAATGGCAATGTTCAATAGTTATGTTAAATTACCAGAGGGTAGTTTTTCTCCGGGTTTCTTCCAATCAGAAATTCGGTTTCTCGCACCTTGACGTTGGCTTCCATACTCATGGACCATGACCTGCCAGTGACATGCAATGACATACTCATAGTTGATGGTGGCCTACACTTTCATGATAGATTTACTCATCCATTGATTGGGTTTTAGATGCTTATAGCAGTCATGGTTATATCCCATGACTGTGGTTAAAAGAAAAGTTATTGACCCAGCTTTGCAACCCAAAAGCAGGTTTCTGGGCTCCGGCATTCTGGTTTCGTCCCGGTTTTTGGCTCGGCAAACAAACGACTTATCATTTCCAGAACCAGAGATCGAAAGCCAACAGTCACTGCTGTTTGGAACATCCAACCATTGGTTAAGAAGATTAAAGATTAAAATGCAACGAGCATCAACGACCCATTGATTGGTGGCAGTGGCTCCGACCTTCGGACCTTCGGGGAACATGGGCAATGGGAAGTTTCACCAACAGATATTGCTACGAAAACACAAATTATCGATGTAGAACCAACAGACGGCGGATATCATCTGTCAAATAATGTCAAATGAGGATTTCACTATAGAAAAAATGGGGGGGTTCAGGTTAGTGCACTATCTAAAAACAGGAATGTCACTCCAAAATGTGCCTTTGAGAACCGACAAAATGCGATACGAAACCAGTGTGAGGGTATCGTCAAAATCAGGTACCCTTTGGTAATACTATTTAGCTCGATGCTTTTCAAAAAAAAGGCAGTTTTAGGGTATTTCCAAGTGCCATCTGTGATTGCCGGAGGGTATCCAACAAAAAACATGGAAACCCCCAAGGACCAAAATCTGGGTCGGTGCCAAAATTTTCACCAACTGAGCCCTCAACACATCTATGACGCAGCTCAGGTCGCTGGGCCTGAGCTGGGCGCATGGCGGCGACTAGCAACGCCATGCACAATGGCTTCACCAGGGAGTTCAACGACAGAATTCTGGGACAAAAATGGGCTATTTCTGAAAATGAGTGTTTCGCTGCGGCCTGGAACTCCACAACCTCCCTGTAGAAAAAGTCTCCCTATCCACAAATCCAAAAAAAAGTCGACAAAGGTTTCACTGACACGTTGGCACACGCCAGGACTGTGACCCAGCAGTTGGGGGGTGGCTTTGGTCCTTGAAGCTTCAGCAAAGTCCAAGGCTTTGGTCAGATTCTCGCCATGTTTCTATACTGGTCAACCAACAGCGGGTCAGGGTCCAGGTGCACCCAGCCATTCATCCCTCTGGTTATGACTAACATAACAAGCCATGGAAAATCACCATGCTTTTAATAGGTAAATCATCTATAAATAGGCCATCCATACCATGGCTATGTTAAATAACCAGAGGGTAATCCCCATATGTTGCCCTCTATAGGACCCAAAATGAAATCCACCGTGGTAGGGAGGTTTTTATCAGTAGTATAGAGGAATTCTGGAGGGGAACATCGTTGCGGTGTCTGAGCCCGCTCACGACGGGTTAGGATTCGAAAGAAAACCATCTTCCGCAAAGTTGTTGGGACCAAACAAACCAGTTCATCTATATGGCCATGATATATTTGACAAACAATAGCTATATTATGACAATACTAATACTACTGTAATGTATGTTATGTGAGCATGGGTCAATATTTAAAAAAAAAAAAACTCTGGTCCCCTGAAGCTCAATTTAGAAGTCCAAGACACGGTCCCATACCCATAACAGGGTTGCTCCCAACACTCCAGAAAAAACGGGTAAACATTGGAAAATGAAAACCCCTTGTGGCTATCTGAAAACCCACACTTGCTTAAAAGCCACACTTGGTTGAATATCCCCATCGTCAACATCAACATCAAGTACCATGAAATACCATTATCATATCCTCATTGACTCTCCATCATACCCCTATAAAAAAAATTCAAAACTATCATATCCATTGTGTCACCATCATATCCATAATATTACCATTATATCATCATCATATCCATGATATCCCATATCTCACTACATAGCAACCCCAAAAAAGATCGAAAAGTCAATTATCACTATCTTAGTGGGATTTTATTTTGCGAACTTTTTGGGGATTACTACAGTATCTGGAAGTTTCCCAAGTCATGGGGTCCCCCAAATCATCCAGTCGTCATGGACCAGATCTGAGTGTTGAAACATATTGAAACCTATGGTGACGATTTGGGATCCACCCTGACCTGAAAAAAAACATGTATCACTATATCGGGATGGGTCAAAACCTATATACATATATATGTAATATATATATATACATAGAAAAAAAAAGATATTGGGGAATAAACTGTCATTCACCAGCGTTTTCAGGTATCTATGGTACCACGGTTTTGACGAAGATAGCCCTGTTAAAAAAATGAACAAGATCACTCACTATATAGCTTATTTGAAAACACAAAAAACATGTATATATCACTATCTCACTATATGTATCACTATATGTATCACTAGATGTATCACTATATGTATCACTATATGTATCACTATGTGTATATATATATATACTGTACATACATATTGGGGAAATCGACCGTGATTCACCAGCGTTTTAACGGGCACCGGCGTTTTCGGACCTTTCTGTGTCCCCCCTGCGTGCGCCGGTGGCCCTCAGGGGGCAGCGCCGACAGGAGCAGTGGGCGGTGGCCTGGCAAAGGGCCACTTGTTGAGGGGATGGGAAAACTAACATAGCTATTGAAAATGGCCATTTATAGTGAGTTTTTTCTATTAAAAATGGTGATTTTCCATAGTTATATATGGGTTATATCTAATAGTTGTTATATATATATATGGTAAACCCATATCTATGATAGTTGTTATATCTATGTTATATCCATATTAACTATGGGTTAACATAGATATAACATGGATATAACATGGATTTTTGACATAGATATAACAACTATAGTTTTATATAACATTGATTTTTGACATTGACATATAACTCCAATAACTTGGATGTAACATGGTTTTTTGACATTGATATTAAATATGGATATATATATATATATAATTGAGGATTACGGAAACATGCGAGGCTCCGAAACCACTGTCCCATTTGTATCTGGCAATAAAACCCAAATTGCTTGGCCTCAGGTAAGCAATCATTTAGCCAGAGAAAATGACCGGTTTGGAAATGATTTCCTCGTTACACATCGCCATGGCTTCTGTGGCAAACTGTTAGATTACCAGAGGGTATGATCCATTTTTGTTGGAACAATCCCATCAAATCCCATCAAATTTCACAAATAAAAACACACCAAAGTTCATGGTGAAATGGTAACACCATGGAAACAAACAAACAAAAACATCATCTCATCTCATCTCCCCATGTTTGTCTTCACTATCTCCCTATTTTCTATGTATATATATATATAGATAGATAGATAGATAGATACATATCCCATCATCCCATCTATCACAAAATGGGTTCTCAACATGGCCATGGCTATCGAAAGGGCGCCTCCCACCGCTTCGCCATTGACCTGTCGCAGTTGCACCGCCATGACACATCCCTGGCCAACAGAGATGGGGGGCCAAGGATCAAATGGGGCTGATTTAACCAACCAAAAATACCAACTGATATGGGGTTGATATACCAACTGTAACTGATATACCCTCTGGTAATGACTAACATAGCTATTGAAAATTGCCACCATTTATGGTGGATTTTCCCATGAAAAATGGTGATTTTCCATAGTTTTTTGTATGTTTACCAGAGGGTACTGGTGCGTTTTACGTAGGGAATGGATGGGTTGCTGGGGTTTGCTGGGATTATTATTGATAGTGATGAAATGGATCATTCCCGAATTCATTCCCTACGTTGAGCACCGTAGATAAGTGCCAAAGATGTTTGTTGGGGAAATCGATATGCTACAAACCAAACATAGGCTGGACTTAATGATTTAGGGCCGCTGATGAAGGCCAATGATAGCTTTCTGTGGGTTGAACATGTCCGTGTTGGCTCGCGATTGGGTTTATGGTCAAAAAAAAATCGTTCGGTGGGTTTATAATCAACAAACAAGACCAAGGGACACAACCTTTTATCAGACTGGCGTCACTCTTGCAGAAGATATCGGTCATACATGGTAATATGGCTATTCCAGAATGGCACCCCTGAGCATCAAAACTCCAAAGAATATGGTTGTGGGACATTTAACCCTGTACCCTATGGTACCCTGGTACTTTTCACACCAACACCGTGTTTGATCTCCAAGAGGTCAACCCAAGATTCGACCCATCGCCAAAGAAACCCATGATCTGTGCTCTTTTCATGCATCCATCCATCGATCTAGATATGTATACATAGACATAGACATATTATATATATATAAGTACATATCATTTATATATATATATATATTATATATATATTATACATATATATATATACATACTATGTATAGACAATATGTCGCCTTCCAGGCCATTCCTCCAGCAGACTCCCACCTGTCAGGCCGGCCCAACGTGTCACAGAAACGCTTGGACCAGGCGGCAATCGCGTGGCGTAGCGTGGCGTAGCGTGGCGTAGCTCGGCGCTGAGGGGCCGAGCAACTGGAGGATCTTCATCCCCAGATTTCGCCATCAAACCCTGAAATTTCAACTGAGGATATCACCTAAGGTAAACCTGGTGATGACTATGATAAATCCTGAAAATAGAGGTTTTATGATACCCTGGGGTAAACTAACAGAGATCTGGAAAACCAATGGTGTCCGTTCGGAGAATCACATCGAATGCTTGCAGGAGGGGAACCCGGGAACCCTCCCCCAAATTAACGTAAACCCTGCCAATTTTTTGGGTCGAAAGATTACTTTCCACAAAAAAATAGTGTTATTTTCAGGGTCTAGGTTGATGTGGGGTAGGACAATGGGGATATACCTGGTAACAGATACTTTTTGTTGGGGTTTCCCCATTGACCAATTGACCAACGATTGAACGAATGGATCGTGCATGTAATGGAATTCTAAGCATCAAAACGGGGGATTAGCCAGCTGGGGATGGTTCATTGGGATAAAATGGAATGTTACTGGATGATTGCCTACGTATTGAAAATGTGGTTCTAAATACAGGATATATCTATACATAGCGGGGATTTCACCATCAGAAATAGGGATCTAAACTCCAACAACTTCACCAAACGGTACCGGAAACCCGTGGGTTTCCAATGAACATGATCTACTTTCATGGTGGTTTGTCCGTATCTATGTTGGTTTTTTTGGAGGGTAAGCCATCCAGTTTTGATGGTTGACTTTGAGCCACAGCCATTTTTTGGTCCCCCAAATAAGGTGAAGTAACTTCTTGGTGATCTTTCTGCCCTCTTGGCAGAAGGATACAAGAGTTGGACATTTTGAAATTATTGTAACTATGTCTAAATCCTGGGTAATATTATAGTTGTAATAGATCATTTGGGTATAGTTGGAAATTATGAGCTAAGCATGATCTATTGCAACTATACCCTGGCTATAAATGGTCCTGTCTTGTATTCATTGGGCTACAGAAATACAACAGGGAGGCGTACCGGTAGGGAAGGGACAGCTATTCTTGCAAACCACCCTGAGATTCCAGTCAATCAGATTTACTGAGCTTTCGATGTTTAGTTTCAAATGGAAATCCTCTCAAACACTGCAACTATCACCAGTCTCATTGATCACTTGCAGCTACTCAAAATGAACCCAATCATTCAGTCAAGAACAATGCTTGGTTTCCACAGTTGGGTCTGCGTCAAAATTGAGTGCCCAAATAAAATCGATACTTGAACTTGAAAAAAGGACCACACTCTGCTCTTTGCTTATCCCCATTTCTGTTGATTCCTTCCAAAAATCCCTACTTTCTGGTTAAATCCTCAGTTTTGTAACTGGAAAACTACCAATTTCGCTGGTGAAAGCCCTACTCCAAGATTCGCGAAATCATCTCAGAGTCTCAGAACCCTATTTTTCATGGTCAAATCCATGTAAACTGCTGCTTCAAACCACCCATGTGGCCATGGTCCTTGGGCGGCGGCGTCCCGAGCGCCGAGCCAGGGGGCGCCGCGCGCTTGGGGCCGCTGTCGAAGTTGGAGCCCCTGCGCGCCATGATTCCCATGATTCCCATGGCCACCCAAACATCGGGGGAGTTCACCATGAGAAATGGGGATTTTACATTGAAATAGTTGGATTTGACCAAAAAAAATTGGGATTTGACCATGGAAAAAAATGGTTTTCAGTATGAAAAAGTAGGGATTTTACCCTGAACAATGCGCACTCGACCATCCAAGAAATAGGGACTTCACCATCAAGTTCCCCTGCCGTTCACATCAGCTGGGACTTTTGGATGTTACCCAAATATGGTATGATAATGTATGATAGGTATCCATCCTCATGATAAAATGGGGATGGCTACCTTGGATTCCCTTCATGTCAATGATTAGGGTTTAGGGTTGGTTCACATGGGATTTACCGAGTAAAACCCACCTGAAAGATACTGGGACGTGAAAAAGGGGGATGACAGCAACAAGGTATGACGATTTGAAGCAGCAATTGATTTTTAGCAACAAGAATTGTGGGATTGAAACCACCAAGTCGGTTTTTTTTTCGAAAGGATTTCCTACATGATATAGCCAATGTTTGCGAGCAACGCTGGTAGTCAAACCTGGCTTGCAGCGCAAGCAACCTCCAGGCTAGTTCCGGGATGCTCGAGCCACCCAAATGATGACACCGTGGTAAGTCAAAGGCTTTGCTTGGCGCTGGCGCAAGAAGAGGCCTCCAGGCCCTACCGTACCAGCTATAACTAGATTCTGGCCTGTTGAATCATAAATGCCAGGGACTCACTGTTGGATGGTCTCAATCATTGGCAGCCGAGCACCACGTGATGAAAAAACTTCACGAGAAAAAGGACCCGACAAGGACCCTTGTGACTATCACCTCCAGTACAAGGTGATGGCCCATAGCTAATTTCATAAGTAGAATTCACGGTAGATATGTCAAATTCTACTTATCATGATGTATAATCAGTCATATTATTGGACAACTCATGGTATATATGTCATGATATATCCAGAAATATCCATAGTTAGCTAACTTGATTCATAAGATTTCATAAGTAGAATTCATGGTATATATATGTCATGATATATTCAGAAATATCCATAGTTAGCTAACTTGATTCATAAGATTATCCATAATTATCCATAATTATCCAGAATTATCCATACATCCATAGCTTTTGGAAACCAACAAACATCACATGACCACCACGGCCACCACGGCCACCACGGCCCGAAAGCAACGCCTCGATTTCACCGGCACAGGCGAGGGCCTACGACGATCTCGACTACGCGAGCGTTCCTGTGATCCCATCGGGATGCCAGCTGTCCGACTTAGAATCCAGCTCTATATAGCTATCCATATGTATAATGTATATGTATATGTATGTATATATATATATGTGGCAGGGACCTTTTGGTATAATGCGACCGTCCTCCTTTCTGATCCCATTTGTTTCCATACTTGTCTCCTTGTCTGTTCCCAACTTGTCTCCTTATTTCTCTATCTCCATTGCGATTCTTCTCTCTGGGTGCTTTCGGTCAAAGGAATCTCCCCTTGTCTCCCGTTCCTCACTTCTCTCTCCATTGCTCAGTGTTCTTCGTTCTGGTGGCTTTGGGACAGGACTCAAGTCCCATCTGTTTTCGTACTCGTCTCTCTACTTCACTCTCACATGTGGCTGTTCTCTCTGGGTGCTTCCGGGGCACAGTATGCTCCTTGTCCTCTGTCTGTCTATGTGCTTGTCCCCCTTGTTCTCTCCAACTCATGCCCTTACTTCTCTCTCTCTCTCTTGCTGTTCTTCTCTCTAGGTGCTTATTTGGACACATGATTCTCTCCGGTTCCTCACTTGCCCTTTCTTGTTCCCTCCAACGTGTATCCTTAATCCCCTCCCCATTGCTGCTGCTGGGGGAAGAATGGATTTCCTGGCCTCTTGTGTTTCTCCCTGCCTTTTTTCCTTTGTTCAGGTCACATTCCCTTACCCTCAGTCTCTACCACGTGTTACCCTACTTACCTTCCTACTTGTCTCCAACTTGTCTCCTTATCCTCTCTCCACTACCGTGCTTCTTTCCAGGTCTCCGGCATTTGGGACGGAGAGGATAGTTTTTCTCCTCTTTCCTTTCTTTCCTTCCTTGTCCCTGTAGTCTTTCCCAGCGCTTTCTTCACTTCTCTCCTCATTCCTGTTGTTCTCGCTTTTGGGACCCAAGATTCCCCTTGTCTCCCATGTGTTCCCATCTGTGTCCTTATTTAGCCAATTTTTTCCTACTTGCTGTTTTGTCTAGGCTTTAGGACCTCTTCATTTCTTTTTGTCCCTCCCTGTTACTGTTCTTCTTCCTGGGTGCTTCTGGGCACAGGATACTCTTCGTGGTGCTCGATGGCAAAGGATTCTTCTTGCCTCCCATTTGTTTCCATACTTGTCTCCTTGTCTGTTCCCAACTTGTCTCCTTACTTCTCTATCTCCATTGCGATTCTTCTCTCTGGGTGCTTT